AGGTGCATTTGTATGGGTGCACATGCACTTGGGTGCATGCACACGTCATCAGGTGCCTTCTTCAATCGCTCTCTATCTTTAAAAAAAAATATTACATTTATTTATTTTGTGTGTGCTTAGGAGAGGAACATACATATGCGGAAACCAGAAGGGTTTCTGGGATCAAACTCAGGTTGTCAGGCTTGGCAGCAAGCTGAGCCATCTTGCCAGCCCCTCTCCATCTTTTCTTTTTCACATGGGGCCTCTCTCTGAACCTGGAACACACCAATTCAATCTGACTACTGGACTGCTAGCCCACAAGCCCCAGTATCTCCTCCCTCTCTAGTGCTGGGATTATAAACACCACAATTCAGTTTTTTATATGGTGCTGGGGGCCACTTTGGATCCCTCATGCTTGTGAAACAAACACTTTATGAACTGAGCCATGTCCCCAGGTCCCTCACACAGCACTTAAGAAAATTTTCAGACTAGACTGTAACTCAACGGTAAAGTGCTTGTTTACATGTATGAGACCCTGGCTTCAATCTCATTAGCTTGAAGGGAGGAGAGGTTCACTCCTTCATCGTCTATCACTGTTCTTCTAGTCTCACCCACACACATCACACTGTTTCTAAATCACTCAGGTCAACCTTGAGCTTACTCTGTAACCTAGGCAGCACTGACTTTGCCAGTCTCCTGACAGTCTCCAAAGTGGGTGGGATGCGATGACAGGCCTGGCAACATACCCTGCTCCAACAAACCCAAGTTTCCACATGTACCGCCCTGTTCTGTTCCGGTGTATCTGAACTGCTTTTCCCTTTGACAGTCAGCACAGATGTCAACTCTACCAGAAAACTTTACAGGACTCTTTCACTTAGCTGTCCCTCCACAGCATGTACTGCAAGTCATATGGTGGAACAAATACTCCAGAAACTGCTTTAGTTTTCAGTCTCCTACTACACTGAGAGCAAGCCAAATGACTGATGCTACCTCATGGCACTGCCTGACACATGGAAGTAGTTCTTAAATGATGATTTATTTAAAAGAGAAAGAGAGAAAAAAAAATACAAAGCAGAAAAGGAAGCAAAGAAAGGGAAAGGAGGACAAGAAAGAGTATGCATGCATACCCAGAACTGGAAAGAGGGCACTTAGAACCAATCAGTGTGTTACATGGTCCAGGCCAGTACTCAATGGAAGACAATGATACAGAGGAAAAGGGCCAGACTCTAAGTACAGCATCTAAATCACTCATTCCCTAAACGTTCTAATGTCTAAGCCACACAGCCCACTTCACTCCACAACTTACTGCAGTATATTAAGAATGTTAGTAACATGCACAGTATAAAAAGCAGAAGCAGGTACAAAAAAAGTAGGAATCAATCTGACATAATTAACTGTAATTTCCATAACCTATCTTCTAAGATCTCACACTGATGCTGAAAGGTCTACCAACTCAAAGTATGAAAAACAATAGAAGGGCTATTGAGATGGTCAGCAGGTAAAGGCCCTCACTGTAGAGCCCTATGACCTGACAGTATGAGTCCAATCCTAAGGACCCATTTGGTAGAAGAGAAAATCAACTTAAGTTGTCCTGACATCATGCGAGTGTACATATACATACAAACAAATGTTAATATATTCATCAAAAAGGGAAAAAAAAGAGAAAAAAAAAAAAAACAAGACACCAGCAACTTCTACTTAACAGCAGTGTCCACAGCAACAGTAGCATCAATCCTAAAGCCGGCTGCTTTTATGTGACAAGTCACAGTTCTCACAAACAGACTGCAAAAACAATCTCCAGACAGAGCACACTAGTCATGACCAGGCTTTGTGTAAATTAATTTTTGAAGGTTATACCATAAGAAAACTGCTTCTAAAAGCCAGCTAACATTTAAAACAGAATATATACTTTCCTACATTTAGTGACTTTTAGCCAAAGACCAAAGAATATCATTATTTCAATACACTGCCACAATAAAATTCCTAGTGTCACTATTAATAAGGCAAATAATTCAAACTTAAAAGCTTACTTCAAATAAGCTTTGTTTGGCAAGATTCAACAAACAGCATAAAATCACTCCATGGCTCAAATGTTATTCACACACATACAGGCACACAAGCTACATGAAACCTTTTATTCACACACAAAATTGGGCCCGATATACTCAACACTAAATACCTTCTCTTCATTTTATTTTGATTCTTTGATAGTCACACTATGTAGCCGAGGCTAGCCTCAAACTCACAAAGATCTGCCTGCCTCTACCTCCTACATGCTGCAATTAAAGATGTATGCCATCTTTTTTTTAAAAATTTATCTTTCTTATTTTTATTTATGTGTATGTGTGTGACTATGTAAATGAATGTTACATGTGTGTGGGTGGTGTCTGTGGAGACCAAAAGTGAGCGTTAGATCCCTCCCTCAGAACTGGAGTTACAAGGTGGCTGTAAAACATAGGGCCGGGTACTCAACTCCCATGAGGAACGGCAGCAGGCTCCTAATCACTGAACCTCAGGCACTGAGGAGGAATTTATCTTTTACATGTAAGAAATTAAATTGCCAAAAATAAGATTTTAATACTAGCAATTAGTAATAGATTCCCCAAAATTTCCTAAACTAAAAACAGAAAGTTCTTTATAAAGTTGGAAATTTGTTTTAACAACTTTTTTTAACATTACTAATAACAAGTACCTTTATTTTAAAGGTAGTAACACACAAGAAAACTTGCATTTGTCTAGTACCATGAAACTTTTAAGGCTAAAGTTTCCAGCAAACTTTCTCTTCATTGTTATTTTGATTGCTTGTTGGAGATAGTGTTTCATGTGGCCTTGGCTGGCTTCCAACTCGATAGGTAGGTTAGGCTAGCCTCTAGCTCACTGTATTATCCAGGCTGGCCTTGAACTACTGATCCTCCTTCCAGTGCTGGGATTAACATGCATGCACCCTCATACCTGGCTTTTCTTTTTCTTAAACAGACAAGTTTTTTAAACAGGAAAAGAAAGGAATAAATAAAAAAATCTACATCTTCAACTTGGTATAACCCTTTTAGACAAACATTTACATTCTAAAATATGTCAGGCATTACAATGGGAACTGTGACAGATTACAGCATCAGCATTCCGAAAATTTATTCATCTTCCAAATATTATACATATATCAGTCAACTTAAAATTTTTTTCTCAAGTTTTCAACCAACTGCAAGGCATGCTTTTCCTAATAAACCCACTTTTCACAGATTGTACATCCGTGACTAACAAAGGGTTTCATCTCCAACATATCACTGGTTATGTTTTCATTCAGATGAGAGTGAGACAGGAACTCCGTAAATAAAAACCAAGCCGTTTACAGAGCCCTAAACTAAAAAAAAAAAAAAAAAAAAAAAAAAACCTTTAAAAATGGACTAAACTGCTTTGTACAATAGGCAAATATTTAGGTGGCAAGAGTGTTTGCATTCTTCTATAAACAGAAGCTTTTGAAACTGTACCTGGATTCAGGTCTACAAAAGCAATCCTCATTCTGGAGACAAATGAAATTAATTAAAAAAAGAAAAAACATCCTAAAAGAACTGTCAAAAGTAGATGCCATTTACATCCTGACATGCTATCGATTACATTTCAATCCAGTAAACACACACTACTACCGTTTTCAAGCACATCTGGATTTGTAATATATTTAAAGAAAAAAAAATTCTAGTATCAAAATTCCACCAGTTAAATCTAGATATATCAGATACCCAAAGCTTTTCATACTAGTGTGGGGAAAAAAAAAAAACAACTTTACAAACTCTCTAAAATGACAAAAACCACCCGTATTTTTATTGCTACGATTTTTTATTCCACCAATACACAAACTACTTCTTAGACACATTTCTTAGAAGCTATTCTGTAGTCAACATGTTTACTTCAGAGGAACCTGGCCATCAGTTTTCCACACAACACAACACAGCAGAGCACGTGACAACTCCAGGACCCAGAACATCAACATAAAGAAAAATGAACCACACAACCCTAAATCCCCGGAAATACAAGGTACAACAGGCTAAATCGGATCTCTAAAGGTAAAGAGCACCAAATTGCTTTAAACATCTTCAAAATTATTTCTGCTTTCTGCTTAAAATTCACGGTTCTGTCCACACGATTAAATACAATTTTCTTTCATCGGTGTTAACAGACAGACCCACCGTATAGTACTGTTTCAAGAGTCAGGTTACTAGAACAGCTTTCTGTTTTATGATTTAAGACGCTTTAATTCGTGCAGTTGTTCCTAAGGTTCCATGCAAAAGGCGCTGTTCTATTCGGGAGCCGCACGCACAGCTTTGGTGAGATGTCTCCTAACTGACTCCACAACTCCACGACACAGCCCGTGGATGATCACACCAGTTGACCCTCTGTCTCCAGGGAAAGCTCCGCACCGAGCCACTCCACACACCTGCCTCTGCAAAACTCGCAGGCCTGCCACAGCCACGGCCCCTGCACTTCCTGAATTCGAAAGCCACTCAAGCTGGTTGAGTGACGCCTTACCTTCATGGTGACTCTGGGGCCGCGATCCCCACGGCGACACCAGCTTCACCTGCACCTGGAGGGGAAACAAAGACACCCGGTCAGTACCACCGGCACCCCCTACGCCGTCGGGGCGGGGGCGGCACCGAGTGAGGCCAGGAACCCGAGCAGGCACGCGCCATCCCAGAGCCCCTACCGCCCCCACCGCCCGCCGCTTGCCGCTCCATTGTCGCGACTCCACGGACTTTTCCCCGTCCTCCACGATGACGCCATTTCTGTCAGAAGAAAACTCACAACAAGCCCAGAGTCCGGCGCGGCCTGGAGTGCAGCTGCAGCCGTCCAAGCCCACGGAACCGCGATGCCCGGAGCTCCGGAACTGAGCCCTGAGTGAACCAGCGGGCCCTTAGGCTGCGACGGCTCGGCCCGTCCGCGTCCCGCTCAAGCCCAGGCCCACAAGTGGGAGCCGGGGCCGGGCACCGAGGACATCCAGCTCTCAGTCCCACCGGCCGAGGCCGCAGGGCTCACGGTGCGGCCCGGGAAGGGCGGCTCCGGCTAGGCGCCGCGGGGGGCGGGGGTCCCGGGAGGCCGAGGCCCCGCTGCGAGCGCCGACTCAGCCCCGTAGCCATCTGCCCCGATGCGCGGCCCGGCCCGGAGCTTCCCCCACGAAAAATAATGCCCCTACCTCCGGCGTAGACGAGGTCTGAGCCCTGCGGCCAGAGTCCCCTGCTCCGCCTCCCCCCCAACACCAGCAGGCCCGGGGGAGAGATGGCGAAGAAGCTGCGGGTCCGCCGGCGGCCGGGGCTCCAGCTCCTCCTCCTCCCGTGGCGGCGACTGGTACCTTTGTTTGGCGGCCGCTCCGGCTCCCTCGCGGGGGGAGGGGGGCGACGAAAAATCCCTCCCAGACGGAGGTCCGGGCCCCGGTCTCGAAGCCCTCCCGAGGACCGCGGCGGCCGATCTTCTGCGGCTCCCTCCGGGCAGACGTCCAGGCGGTGGCCGTCGCGGCGGCAAGCTGTAGCTCGAGACTCTCCCTCCGCTCCGGCGCCCGTGCTCCTCACTCCGGACTCGACTGACGGGCAAACATCGCTTCCCCCCACCCCGGCCCCCCTTCCCCTTCTCCCCTCCCCTCGGTTCTTTTCCCCTCCCCTACCTCTTTCCCGGATGCCTTTCAGACGATCTAGGATTGGCTAGGATTCTTTGGAGCCCGCCTCTTCCCAGTTTTTATTGGTTTGAACGATGCAAACAACGACGCCATTTTCCCACCAGTTCTATGGAAACAGAAAGTTATGCCTCAGTGTTTCCTGGGATTTGTAGTCCACTCTTCCGGGCCAATTGGCAAACTCTCGGACATAAGAACTACCAAGACCGCAATGCCTCTTGCCTGCGTTCGACGGGAGCGGGGAGGGGGGGGAAGGGGGCGCGGCCATAACGCAGAGGGGAGGTGGCATACGACGCCTGCGCAGTGTGCCAGGGATGGCGTATTTTCTTGCACCCAGTAATGCGGCGTCGCTGGCCGCTGAGGAGGGCGGAGATTTCTGTGGTGAAGTAGGGGGAGGGCTCCAAGGAGGCCTCGGGAAGAGCCGAGGTCTGAACTGTAAAGTGAGAAATTGATGTGGGTACTGCTAGTCTCCGACCGGCGGCTTGAAGTCTGAGATCATCGTGGAACCGTGAGCAGCGCGGCGGCAGGGAGGGGGGACCCGGATGGGGAGCGGGGGAGGGGGCGGTACCGAGGAGGAAGAAGAAGAAGAAAGGAGGGAGAGGACCCGGATGCTGACCCGGCTTGGGGTGACTGGCGGCCGGGTGCTGGGACGCGGGGGAGGCAGAGGGGCTCTGAGGAGCGGAAGGGCACCGATGCAGCGCAGGGGAAAAGCCAGCCTGCGAGTTTATTACACCACTGCCGGTGTGGAGCCCTTTTTCCTCAGAGCCATCATTTCCAAGGCTTGGAGTAAAAGGGACTTGTGCGCCTCACAGCTGCGTTTCTCGGGGCCCATATGTTTAGCTAGTTTCAGGCCAGAGCCTGCCTATAAAAAACAGAGAGAAATACTCTGCATGGAATTTTCGATATTTGTATGCGTGCTGATGCGCGATTTTATCCTCTGAGGTTTTAAGGAGAAACGTTCATTCAGTCCTCATGTGGAAAGACAGGATGGACTTTGTGCGACTTCCTGAACGCGTCTGGTCAGACAAAGTGAAGCGTGATAGGAAGATGTGAATTAGAGCTTTGACTTAGGGAAGTATAGAGAGGTTTTTCAGAGGGAATGAGGATGGAGCTTGGCTCAAGAAGCCAGGTCCTAAGGGAAGAGCCTAAAGGAAAGGAGAACATGTTGGAAACGCGTTTAAGGACAAAGCTTTCCCAGCATCTGAGGCCCAGAGAGATGAGGAAGGCAGGGTAAGGAATTTTGATCCAGCACCCTGGAGACTGAAGCAGGAGGATTACTACTGTGTATTGTAGGCCAGCCTAGATTACACAGGACGAGCCTGTCACCAGAAATCAAAATTTAAAAAGAGGTTTTATCTGCTCTAATGGTCCAGTGAGTAATAGGATATCTTGGATTCCCAACTTGAATTGCTAAAATGACAACTCACCCAGAACTAGAGTTTAGCATTGTGGTGCTGACACAATTCCAAGGCCAGCCTGAACTACGTAATGAGTTCCTGGCTAGCCTGGGCCACACAGATCCTGTCTCAAGAAAAAATAAAATGATGGCGGAAGATCAGAAGGGCAGCTGCAATAGTATTTCAACAGGAAAAACGATCTACTTGCATAAATATTCACTAATCTCTTTTTCAAACAAATTTCCAACAGCTTTTCAGTTTTTTAAAGTGGGAAACTGGTATCAGATTTGCACTGAGGCATTCTATAGTGATTCCACATAAGATTAACTGAGTTCGTGTCACTCAGCACTTAAGTCTAGTACATGAAAAGCTGAAAATTCTAACCAAGACAATTGACAGTCCTTAGTTTAAAAAAAGTCAAGAGTATATAGAACTCTTAAACTGCCTTAGACTCTTAAAGTGCAAAACAGATTGACTGTCAGTACTTACAGACATTGAAGTTCTCATGTTTCTCCACCACAGAGAATACTATATGTAAATATTTTCTGGGAAGGGAACATTAATTGACTTATATGAGTACTGTTAAACTGTGAATGAGCAAAAAATTACTTTTTAAAAATTCATCACTAGTGGAGAAATATTAAAGATTTTAAAAAAACATCGGGTTTTTTGGGAGGCAGAGGCAGGCGCATCTCTGAGTTTGAGGCCAGCCTATCTACAAAGCAGATTCCAGGAAAGCCAGGACTCTGTTACACAGAGAAACCCTTTTGGGGGGGGGGGGGGAGGAACGACGACACACAACAACATGACACTTCAGTGTTTAAAGGATGTGTCACTCTTAATTCCTGTGCAAAAGGTACCTGCTATTGACCCAGAGGCAAATTCTTGAAGGTGACTTCATTATTTAAAGTTAGGTCAAATGTGTTTTCCGGAATGCAGACAAGATAGCAGCATGCTTTTTGCTGCCACCTAATTGAGAAAAGATGGCTGCCAGCTGGTTTAAAAGAGAGGAGTGTATAAAAGATGCTTTGAGGACTTGAGGGTTTAAGGTAATGGTAGATCAAGTGCAAGGCTTTGGACTTCACCCAACGGAAAAAGAACAGATTTTTTTATCATATGTTTAAATGATCTGTTGCAAACATTATTTGTCTTCCTTCTTTGCATCACCTTTATCTTTAACCTCTTAAGACCAAAGTAACATGTCCAGCATTAACAACTGTAATCCCACCTCTCCAAAAAGCTCAAGAGTTCAAGGCCAGCCTGGACTACATAGGGAGTTCCAGGCCAGTCTAAGTTGCTATTTGGAATATTTTAAACTATTTTTATGACGATTCTTTTCCTTGTAATGTTCTTTTTTGTTTGGTTGGTTGGTTGGGTTTTGGTTTTTCGAGACAGGGTTTCTCTGTGTAGCTTTGGAGCCTGTCCTGATACTCACTCTATAGACCAGGCTGGCCTCGAACTCACAGAGATCCGCCTGCCTCTGCTTCCCAAGTGCTGGGATTAAAGGCATACACCACCACCGCCCAGCGTGATGTTCTTAATAGTAACTGCTAGTCAAGGCTAATGGAGATTTTTTCCTTAGGAAGTAAGGGATTGAGACTTGTCATGTAGCCCAAGCTGGCCCTGAACTTCTGATCCTTCTCCCCACTTTCCAACTGCTGGGATTACAAACATGTTCTGCCACATTTGGCTAGAATTTTTCTCTTTAGGATGTTTCTGCCTGAATTCATACTGCTGAACTGCTTTGGTGTGTTGCTGATTTTTTTTGTGTGTGGATGTTTGATATACTAAGAATTAACTACCAAAAAATGAGCTCTTGAAGCTGGAGAAATGGCTCAGTAGGTAAAGTCCTTGCTGTGAAATCATGAGGACCTGGGGATTGCTAGCCAGCCAGTCTAGCCAAACCAGCAAACTCTAGCTTCAATAAGACTATTTCAAAAAATAAGGTGGGAAGGTTAAAGAAGTTACCCAATGTCAATCTCAAAGTTCCACATACACCACTGTAGTGGTTTAAATGAGAATGACCCCCCAAAGTTGGTGGAATTGTTTGGGGAAGGATTAGGAGGTGTGGACTTTTTGGAGGAGGTATGTCACTAGAGGTAGCCTTTGAGGTTTCAAAGGCTCATGCCATTCCTAGTTAGCTTTTTGCCTCAGGCTTATGGATAAGATGTACGCTCTCAAATACTGCTCCAGTGCCATGCATGCCTACCTGCTTGCTGCCAGATCTCCATCATGATGTTCATAGACTCACCCTCCGAAACTGTAAGCAAGCCTCCAATTAAATATTTTCTTTTATAAGTTGCCTTAGTCATAATGTCATGTTTTTTTGTTGTTGGGTTGTTTTTGTTTTTGAAACAAGGTCACTACATAGCCCTGGCTGTCTTGGAACTATGTGTGTAGACCATACTAGCTTTGAACTCACAGAGATTCCCCCTGCCTCTGCCTCTCAAGTTCTGTGACTAAAATATGCACCACCACATTGGACTGGTCATAGTGTCTCTTTACAGCAATAAAATAGTAACTAAGATAACCACACACACACAAAATTAAATAAACGAATACTTTAAATAAATGAATACCCCCTTTTTTTTTCCCCACCGACAGGGTTTCTCTGTGTGACAGCTCTGGCTGTTCCAAAACTTGCTTTGTAGACCAGGCTGGCCTCGATCTCACAGAGATCCGCCTACCTCTGCCTGCCAATTGCTGGGATTAAAGGCACGCGTCACCACTGCCTGGCTATGAATACTTTTTAAAGCATGTTTTTCACTGGGCATGGTGATACACATGTAATCCTAGCACTTGAAGGCTAAGAAAGGAGGATTGTTCATTCTAGGGCAGCCTGAACTACATTGGGAAATCCTGCCTCCAAAAGCAAACAATAAAAAAGCGCTCAGCACGTGCATTCACATTTGTATGTGTTTGATTCTAAAGAGCACCCTGAACAATAAATACATCACCTTCATTCTTGATTTCATTTATTATCTGTCTTCAATGAAGAGTTACAAACTGAGGTTGCAGGGGAGATGGCTCATCAGTAAAACATCTATGAAACATGAGGAGCCAAGTTCCACATCTCTCCATCTTTAACCCCAGCACTTGCCCGAGCCAGAACAAGCATATCCCAGGAATTCATTGGCCAGCCAGTCTAGCTAAATTGGCAAGGCATGGGTTCAGTGATGGATCCTGTCTCAAATATAAGGTGGAAAATGATTGAAGAAGACCAAGGGTTGTTATATAGCCTCTATACAAACATGCACTCACACACATGAATACATGTACACACAAAAATTTTTGTTTCTCACAGGTACTTATTATGTACGTGTATGAGCATCTACGTGCCATAGTACTTGTGTGGAAGTCAGTATAGCTTTTAGCTCTTAACTCTTTCTTTCTTTAAATTTTATGTATAATGTCAGCAGATGGCTCTGGGTTAAGGGTTTGCCATGAAGCCTGACAACCTGAGGTGTTCTGTCCATGGGATTCACATGATGGAAGAGAACTGACTCCCTCTTCTAGAGCCTGTCAAGTTGACAACACTAACCATCACAGGTGCCTTCCGATTCCAAAACCTGTGGTATGTAGCTAGCTCTTTGACCAGCAATAACCATGAACTGCCATCATGTAACCATGTTCTATTTGGTTTTATATTTACATATACACAGTGAATCCATAAAAGATTATTAGAGGAGAGCTTGTGATTCTGAAAACTAAATGGTGCTCCCCAAAGAAGACACAACTCATAACACCTAAAGCTTGCCAGAGGTATCATGGTCACTAGAAAAGTGGATCTCTGAGGAGAAAAGTAGACATAGATATTTGCAGAGAAGCAGAAGACTCACCAGTAAAGGAAGCCCTTGCAAAGACCATGATTGAAGCTGGGCAAGGTAGCATGCTCTGTAATCCCAGTATTTGGGAGTAGAGGCAAAAGAATCAAGAGTTCAAGACTAGCTGGGACTACATATATCTTGTCTCAAAAAATTCATATGTACATACATGCCACAGTTTATATTCTAGGAAATATTGAAGTAAAGTCAAAATTCAAAATGATAAGGCACTACAGGGAATTCTTAAATAATAATTGTATTCAAATTTGTATGCATCTTAAAAACAATCTCTGAAATTTATTGATTTGAGAAAAATGTTCCTCACAAATTACAAAGCACACCTATCTTGATAGAATATTTGTAATCATTACAGAAATGTCTGTTTTTGTGAATCTGTTTTGACATTTACTTGATATCAGCAAGAAAACTACTAAAAAATCAACTAAACATTCTGATCAATGTAATCAGTGGAATGAAGAATTTTTCTTTTTAGAAACTTGAGGTATAATTTATATACCACCCATTCAGAGTGTATAATTAAGATGGATTTGGTGGCTTGAACCCACAGTTTCAAGGCCAGCTTGGGCACCATAGTACGACCCCATCTCAGGACAACCTAGATATGATGATGCATGTCTGTAATTTCAGCACTGAAAACCATGAGGCAGGGCAGTCACAAATTTGAAACCATTCTGAGCTACACCATGAAACCTTTCTGCTGTGGGATGGTCTGTATGTCAGATGTGTTGCTGATTGGTCAATAAATAAATCACTGATTGGTCAGTGGCCAGGCAGGAAGTATAGGCGGGACAAGGAGGAGAAAAAACTGGGAAGTGGAAGGCTGAGTCAGGGAGACACTGCCAGCCGCCATGATGACTAGCCGCATGTGAAGATGCCGGTAAGCCACGAGCCATGTGGCAAGGTATAGATTAATGGAAATGGATTAATTTAAGCTGTAAGAACAGTTAGCAAGAAGCCTGCCACGGCCATACAGTTTGTAACCAATATAAGTCTCTGTGTTTACTTGGTTGGGTCTGACGGCTGTGGGACTGGCAGGTGAGAGAGATTTGTCCTGACTGTGGGCCAGGCAGGAAAACTTTAGCTACACCTTTCAAAAACTTTTTTTTTAAATTAAGTGTGTAATTACAGTGTACAGCCATTGCCACATTCTAATAACATTTTGATCCTATACACAAACATACCACACATGTGATCGTGTGCACACACCTTCATTATTAATTAGTAACAGTCCTTATTTTTTCTGAGCCAGAAACCACTAACCTGTTTTCCCATCTGTATAGATTGCCTGATTCAGAACATTTCCTATAAATAGGATCATACAGCATGTTCTTTTGTGGCTGGCTCCTTTTGCTTTACATAATTTTTCAAGGTTTTATACATGTAACATTTTACTATATAAATAAAATTTAAGGTCTGTCTGTCCAAAAAATACCTTGATAAAAATTCCTTTGCACTTAACACTTAAAGATAATTTGATTCATGAGATCATTTTTATATTTCTCCTTTTTAACAGGTCAGCTTTGAAATTTATAAAACATGGAGAAGACTCAAGAGAAAGCTGAAAGAATTCTTCTGGAGCCCTATAGGTACTTACTTCAATTACCAGGTAACAGTTCAGTTATTGTCCATATAGCATAGTTTTCAGAGAGTAGTGTTTATGTAAATGTTAGCAACAGGAAGGGTTAAACTTAAATGGTTCTGGAGGTCTTCTATTTGAAGCAATACCATTATAAGAAGAATTATTCAAAGAACTATATAATGAAAATGTTTCTGTTTTGCTTTCTGTTTTATTGAGACAGGATATCGTTGATACATCCCTAAGTTGGCCTAGAATTCATTAAGTAGCCCAGGTTGGCCTGGAATTTGTGGTGAACCTCCTGCCTCTGCTTTCCAAGTGCTGGTATTACAGGTGTACTGTGGCCAATCCTAAAAAGTTATTCCTTCTTTCTTTTAATTATGTGTCTGTGGGAGGGTATGTGCATGTGTGTAAATGCCTGTGGTCAGAAGAGGATATTATATCCTCTAGAGCTAGAGTCTTAGCCATTTGTGAGCTACCTGTGATGTAGGTGCTAAGACAAACCCAGGTCCTCTACAGGACCTTAACCTTTAACTCATTCTTAATCTCTGAGCCATCTGTCCAACCCAACTCCTTTTTTTCCCCTCATTAATGTATTGAGTGTGAATGTATGTGGAGCTCAGAGAATCCTGGGGATGGAATTCAGGTCATTAGGCTTTGCCCTAGTCACATTTACCTCTAAAACTTTTTTTTTTTTTTGAGTCAGTGTCTCGCTGACCTCGAACTCACAGAGGTCTGTCTCCCAAGTGCTAGGATTAAAGGTGTGCACCACTATACCCAGACTAATAACTTAACTTTTTTTTCCCTTCTTAAATTTTTATTTTATGTGTATGGAGGTTTTGGCTGTATGTGTCTGGACACCACATGTATGCCTAGTACCTGAGGAGGCCAGAAGGGGAGGTCAGTTCCCCTAGGAGTGAAGTTACAGTTAGGGTTCTAAGCCACCATGTGTATGCTGGGAATCAAACCTGGAACTTCTAGAGGAGCAGCAAGTGCTCTTAACCACAGAGCCATCTCTCTAGCCTCCGAAACTTAACTTTTATGTAACTATTTTCTTGAGCCCTGTTCTGAATTTGCAGTATTAGACAGGATACGATATTTGTACTAAATGAACTGGTTATGAATTTTATCTACCATTGCTTTATGTTTAGGCTAATTTAACTTCTACTGGCAACTACTATCGAAAGATCTTTCTCAAGCCTTCCATGTGAAAAAAAAAAATGCTATTAGAAAGCTAGTGGCCCTAGTCAATACCAAAGGCTAGCACTTGTTTAAACTTAGGATACGTAAACTGAAGTTGCTCTAGTCTCTAAAACCTTAATTTAAAGGAATGACAGATAATTTTATCAGGAAATTCATTGGCAAAATGCTTCGAAGTTTTGTGTAACAGATAGTGTTAACTAATTGTCCCCGAACAGATTGTCTTTGTTTTTCAGAAAAAGAAATTAAAATGTATTTTCTAAAAATGACCATTCCATCTCCAATATGATTAAAACTCACTGAAGTGCTTTAGACTTTCTTGTTGGCCCTTATTGTAAAAAGCTGTGCCTTTTGATCTTTAATTGTGTGTATATATGTGCTGGGGTGGGAAGTATGTGTGCATGAGCATGGGTACCCACAGAGGACTGAAGAGGGTGTTGAATCACCTGGAACTGGAGTTACATATGGTTGTGAGCCACCTGACATGGGTGCTGGGAACCAAACTAGGGTCCTCTACAAGAGCAGCAAAAGCTCTTTAACGCTGAGCCATCTCTCCACTCACCCAAGTGTAGTTTGAATGATAAAATGAAGAGGGTAATCCACCCCCACTATTCCTTTACATTGGGAAATCTGAGGGGTATTCGGCGGGGAAGGAAATGGGTTGCTGTGACTGTCTTATTAAGTCTGATCAGTTTGGAAGTAAGTTTTTCAATTTTTCTTGTAATCACATTTTGGAGGCCAGTGAGATAGCTTAGGCAGTAAAGGTGCTTGTCACCATGCCTAAGCTCTGACTTCCGTGAAATGCACATGATAATAGAAACTCAATTAAATAAGTTTTTCTTAACTGTTTTTTTAAGTAAAATAATGTTTTATTTGTCATATTCTGTGTTATTAATTGCAGGTAAACAGGTGAGAACCAAACTTTCACAGGCATTTAATCACTGGCTGAAAGTTCCAGAAGACAAACTACAGGTATCTAGGCAGTCCATTTTGTCTCTGTTTTGTCGTACTGTTCGTCCAATTCTGAACTTTGAGCATACTGGACAAATGCTTTGCCACTGAGCCACATCCCCAGCCCTTAGGCAGTTCTAATCTTATTCTGCATTTAATCACCAAGGAATTAGTAGGTGTCATGTAAAAGTACTCTAAGATCCTTATTCTCTTAATGTTTATATAATATTATATATTGAGGTTGTTAAATATTTATTAGTTGTAAAAGCTTAAAACAACTGAGTCTTTAATAATTTGGTAATATGTGGTGATATTTTATTTGTGCTGAAATGTGATATTTTATTTGTATGTTAATAAATAGTTTGCCTGGAGATCAGAGGTCATAGCGAGCCATAAACAGAAGTCAGGTGGTGGTGGCACATGCCCTTAATCCAATCACATGGCAGGCAGAGTCTCTATGTGTTCAAGGACACAGCCAAGCATGGTGACACACACCTTTAATCCCAGTACCAACCATAGAAACTTGGAGGTCTATATAGACAGGCAGTGACGAGGAAGTGATGTGGCTGGGCTTAGAGCCAATGAGAAGGCAGAACAGGAAGGCAATAAAGGTGCAGGTTAGACAGGAAGAACCTCTCTTGGGAAGCTATGGCAAGGTGGTAAGCTAGGTTAGTTGGCAGCTATTGCTCAGATCTCTATGGCTTATATATAGCTCTGTATTTGGCTCTGTGTTTCTTACTTAATAAGACTGTTTAGAAATTCGTCTACAGTTGGCGCCCAATGTACAACCCTGAGATTAAGAGTATCATGCTCTACCGACTGAGCTAGATGGGCTACATGTACTCAACCAGGCTATGTGCACTCGACACATGCACTCGACCATAGCTACAAGTGGTCCGGCTACACGCATCTGGAGCTACTTGCAGCCAGATCTCTAACTCACGTGGCCAGAGCTTAAAGGGGCCAGAGCTACTATTGGCTAGACTGCTTGTGGGTTTATAGACCCCTGGCTCAGGCCCTAAAGCGCTCAGGCCAGAGCACGTGGCTGGACTTCACAGAGGCCTGGACCTCTTTCAGGGCTTTCTCCATCACGTCCTGGAGGAGGTCTAGCAGGTCTGGTGCGGCCAAGGGACGAGCTGGGCCAGAGCCTGCAGGGTGTTGAGCAGAAGGTACAATCTCTGCAAGCCATATTTGGGACTTTCGAATCTATCTTGAGAAGTTCTCAACATAAACAGGACCCCACAGAGAAAGCTGTGAAGCAGGGGGAGAGCTAGATGAACCGTATCAGTGAAGTTCTGCAGAAGCTGCAGAATGAGATTCTCAAAGATCTGTCTGACATGATCCATGTGGTCAAGGATGCCCAAGAGCAGGATTTCACATCGTTGGAGAACGTGGTCTACAAAGCAAGTTCTGGAACAGCCAGAGCTCACCAAGTCCATCAATGACAAATCTCCATCTTCACCGATGTCCAGAAGAGGAGCCAGAAGGAGATAAATGACATCAAGATGAAGGTGGCCTTCCCTGGAAGAAGAATCCAAGGGCGATCGCAATCAGGACATGAAAATTCTGGAGAAAGCCCTGAAGGAGGTCCAGGCCTCTGTGAAGTCCAGGGAGAGGGACATTGAGGCCCTGCAGAGTTTCCTTCAGACCATGGAATCTGATGTCTACATAGAGGTCCAGGAGCTAGTGAGCCTCAAGCAGGAACAATATGCGTTCAAGCAGGCGCCTGGCATTGGAGGCCCTCATGGAGAAGCTTTTGCAGTCTGAGGAGTCCTCCTCTTGCCTCCCAGAGGACATCAGGAGACTGGAAGAAGAGCTGCAGCAGCTGAAGGCTGAGGCCCATGGAGCAGAGGAGGCCATTGTCTTCAAAGACTCCAAAGCCTTAGATGAACTCCAGCGGTAGATTGAAGGTCTGCTCTATGCAGGTGGCCTTTGCTCACCACACTGAGAGCCTGAAGTCACTCTTGTCTCAGAGTCAGGAGTATGAGCAGTGCCTGGCTATGCTGCAGGAGCACCTGGAAAGCCTATGGTCCTCCTCTGATCTGGCCAGCACAGTGAGGAGCCTGGGGGAGGTCCAGCTGATGCTGGCCAGAGCAAGTGAAGGAGCTGCAGCAAAGTGTGGGTCACTGCAAGGACAGGTGCACATGATGCTCAGCCAGGACCAAGCCCAGGCCACAGGCCTGCCTCCCCAGGATTTCCTGGATAGACTCTCCTCTCTAGACAACCTGAAATCCTCAGTGGACCAAGTGGAGTCAGACTTAAAAATGCTCAGGACTGCCGTGGACAGCTTGGTTGCCTACTCTGTCAAGATTGAAACAAATGAAAACAACCTGGAGTCAGCCAAAGGCTTGCTGGACGACTTGAGGAATGATCTGGATGGGTTGTCTGTGAAAATTGAAAAGATCCATGAAAATATCTAAATGAACTGCTTGTGCGGGGCACACATTTATAGACCAGTTTCTTATGACCAAGAAACAAAACAAAACAAAATCATTGTTTCCTCCCAGGTACCCTCCCACCAGCCTCTTGCCCCTTCCCCCACGAAAAGCAGTAGACACCATCTGAGCATGACTGCGTGGTGTTCTGTGCCCAGTTAATTTATTTGCAGTTATTACCACACACCTTTGGTTCCTGAAATCCTGTTTCTGTCTTTAGTTTGGCTTCCTGAAGGCCCAACCCTGTACAGAAAAGGTGGCTTTTAGAAGGGATGTGTCTACTGTCAGGGAGATGACAATGGCTTTAACTGGGGATTAACGGAGCAGATTAACCTAAAAAAAAAAAAAGAAAAGAAATCCTGTCTGGCTGACAGATTTATGGTAAAACACAGCAACAGCAATGGGGGAGGGGCATTTTTTTGTAGTATCGTTAAGTATAACCTGTTTTGGCAAGCATGTACCATGGTAGTACACACATGGAATCCCAGCCCTTAGAAGCTGGCTACATAAGGAGAGTATGTCTTTTAAAAAAAAAAAAAAAAAAAGGGCTGGAGAGATGGCTCAGAGGTTAAGAGCACTGGCTGCTCTTCCAGAGGTCCTGAGTTCAATTCCCAGCACCCACATGGTGGCTCACAACCACCTGTAATGAGATCTGGTGCCCTCTTCTGGCCTGCAGTCATATATGCTGTATACATAATAAATAAATAAATCTTTAAAAAAAAAAAAAAAAAAAAAAAAAAAAAACTGGGCTAGAGAGATGGCTCTGAGATTCATTAAGAGCATGTACTGCTCTTGCAGAGGACCTAAGTTCAATTCCCAACACCTACATCAGGCACCTCACAACTGCCTATAACTCTAGATCCAAGGGAATCTGATGTCTCTGGTCTCCAAGGGCACCTGCACTCACATGGACATACACACTGACACATACACAAATTAAAAATAATAAAAATAAATCTTTTAAAAAATTCTCAGTGTATGTACACATTTGTGCGCTAGTCTTTGTATATATCTGTATGTATGTGGTTGTATCCCTTTACATGTGTGTGTTGTATGTGTATATGTTAGTGAAATTTTCTTTCTATTTTGGTTGTTTTCCTGTAGATTATCATTGAAGTAACTGAAATGTTGCATAACGCCAGCCTACTCATTGATGATATTGAAGACAATTCAAAGCTCCGACGTGGTTTTCCAGTGGCGCATAGCATCTATGGAATCCCATCTGTCATCAATTCTGCCAATTATGTCTATTTCCTTGGCCTGGAGAAAGTCTTAACACTTGACCACCCAGATGCTGTAAAGCTTTTCACACGCCAACTTTTGGAACTCCATCAGGGACAAGGCCTAGATATTTACTGGAGGGACACCTATACCTGTCCCACTGAGGAAGAATACAAAGCCATGGTGTTGCAGAAGACAGGTGGATTGTTTGGACTAGCAGTGGGTCTCATGCAGTTGTTCTCTGATTACAAAGAAGATTTAAAGCCACTGCTTGATACACTTGGGCTCTTCTTCCAGATTAGAGATGATTATGCCAATTTACACTCCAAAGAATACAGTGAAAACAAAAGTTTCTGTGAAGACCTGACAGAAGGGAAGTTCTCATTCCCCACTATTCATGCCATCTGGTCAAGGCCAGAAAGCACCCAGGTACAGAATATCCTGCGCCAAAGAACAGAAAATATAGATATTAAAAAATACTGTGTGCAGTACCTGGAAGATGTAGGTTCTTTTGAATATACTCGATACACCCTGAGAGAGCTTGAAGCTAAAGCCTACAAACAAATTGAGGCCTGTGGTGGGAACCCTGCACTAGTGGCTTTAATGAAGCATTTAAGTAAGATGTTCACAGAAGAAAATGAATAATATTTGCCGATTTTGGTTAGACTCAATAGCTTTCAGTTGAAAATGCGGAGTGGCTTCCTGTTTATCTTTTCAAGTACTAGTCTCCAAAAACTGAGTAAATGAGGATGATGTGGGTGAAAGTGTTTCATTGTCAGAATCCCTTTGCATAAAAATACAAACCTGAGGGCCAGAGTGATGGCTCAGTGGTTAAGAGGCTTGCAGAGAACCCAGGTTCAATTCCCAGTGCGCATATAGAAGTTCACCACCATCTATAACTCCAGTTCCAATGATCTGATGGCCTCTTCGGACCTTTGCAGGCAGCAAGCATGCACATAATACACTGACACACACGTAGGCAAAACACTCATACAAATAAGATAGATTTTTTTAATTTTTTAAAAACACAAAGTTGAAAGTACCAGGAGCCACAAACACGGGTCTTAGAAATGTTAGACGCTAAATGGGACCAACTCCCTACTACCACACATGTTCTGGATTTATGAATAAAAAAGACATCTTCCAAGAAACTTCTGCTTTGTAACTGTATGATATGGATGGTTCCCAATTCACTGATGTTTCAGTTCAAAACAGGGACTTCCTAGACAAGTGTCTTTAGGTAAAGACCAAAGAACTGTTGCCTTTCCCTAAATGATACTAAGAGTATGTCAGTTTTGTCTCTTTGAAGACTTATACCAGAGTCTGAAAAGACAGAATGAAAGCAGTAAACATTCTTCTCACTCACTCTCTTGTTTCCATCCTTAACACCCCACAAATTCTGCTTTTTTAGCAAGGAGGCTCCACTTAATGAAGTTCACATCCTGGTCCCAATTTATTTTTTCTTTGTTTTTTTTGTTAGTGTGTGTGTCTTTTCTTGTAACATTTTTCTGCCCCAAATTGATTATATCTGTGTATAATGTTGTTTCTCTGAGAATGGAGAAAATATACAGAAAAAGTGTTTTGTGGAACATACTTGTAACCCCAACAATCCAGAGGTATAGTCAGGAAGATCAGAAGTTCAGGGTTATGCTCAGATATATGAGTTTGAGGCCAGTCTGGGCTACTTGAGACTTTGTCTCAAAAGAAAAAAAAAATTTTTTTTTTTTCTTGAGACAGGCTTCACTATACAATTCTAGCTGGCCTCAAGGATCAAAGGATCCACCAGCCTAGCTTCTGCCTCCTGAATGCTAGGATAAAAGATGTGTCCCACCGTGTCTGACAAAGAATGTGTAAGTCGATTTATTTTCTTGCCTAATCAAATTAATTTTGGCCTGGTACTAATTCATGATTCTTCTGTCATTCTTGTCTTGCCTTTGTCAGTAACAGAAATGCTTAACAGTGAATTAGAGTCAGGTTATCTATCCAGTAATCATAATTCCATTCTTTACTTGGTCTGTGGTCATAGTTGTTATTCAGAAGAGAGCCATAATGTAATGAGTATCTTTGTTCCTTTAATAAGATAATTTTATTTGTGCACGCCTTTAATCCCAGCACTCAGGAGGCAGAGACAGGCAGATCTCCGGGGAGGCAAGCCTGGTCTACAGAGTGAGTTCCAGGATAGCCAGAGCTATACAGAAACCCTGTCTCAAAAAAAAAAAAAGATTCTATTTGCTTAGATTTATTCTACAGTAATGCTTTTCTTGCCTAAGAAAGTCTTCAGCTATCCTCTTGTAGAGTTGGATTTTGCCATGTCGGAGACGTGTGTGTGTGTGTGTGTGTGTGTGTGTGTGTGTGTGTGTGTGTTTTGAGAGAGGGTTTCTCTGTGTAGCCCTGGCTGTTCTAGAACACACTTTGTAGACCAGGCTTGCTTTGAACTCACAGCGATCCACCTGCCTCTGCCTTCTGAGTGCTGGGCCTAAAGGAGCGTGCCACCACTGCCTGGTTGAGACTTACTTTTTAATATTTTCTGTTTTATGCAGCTTCAGAAAAACATTAATTTTATTTACCAGATCTGCAAGAATAAATGTCAGTTATATTGCCATAGATGACTTGGCTCAGCAAGATTTTTATTTTCTTGAGATGAGGTCTGGCTTTGTTGTCTAATCTATTATTGGCCTTATCTTCCTTCAGCCTCTGGAGTAGCTGGGATTCCAGTCCAGTCCTGGGTCTAGCAAGGTCTTAGTTCATCTGCTCTGCTCTCCCACTGCCCCTCCTCTAACTTCTGTCCCCCATTCATTCCCCTCGGGAGATCTTCGGAAGCCCTCTGCCAGTTCTGAGTGCATCCAGCCACCTGCATTCTTTGGTTTCCAGTGCTATTAGGGAATGTTCTCCTGGCAGCTGGTGTAGTCGCTACTGCCTCCTTGAGCAGCCCTTCCCCCCCCCCCCCCCCCCAGTAACCTGTATTATTTCTCTCATCTTCCTTTCCTAGCAGAAAAGGAGATTCCTCACCTAGCAATCTAATGTCTCCTATTACCTTTTCCACTCTCCACCTATCAGATGTGGAGCCTCGTAACTTTCTACTCTTATTTTAAATCTGCCTTCAAGTCCTCTGCCTTTTATTTCCAAAAACAAACCAGATGAGGTGGCAAATGCCTATAATCTTAGCACTTAGGATGGCAAATTGGGATCAAAAGTTCAAGGTCCTTATTGGCTACATAGCGGGCTGGGCCTGACCTGGGTTTTGTAAGAGTTTGTCCTACAGCCTTAGGCCAAAGGAGCTCTTGAGCTCTAGATTCCTTTCCCTTCCTACTCCTGAGGGCCTCGCCCCATCCCAGGCTGTCGTCATCCTTAGGCATTGTCCTATGGTTCATGTTAAGCCATGTGCTATGGGAAAGGGGAAAGAAATGTGTATTTATACATCTGTAATCCCAGCACTCAGGAGGCAGAGGCAGGCAGATCTCTGTGATCTGGTCTAAATAGAGAGTTTCAGGCCAGACAGGGTAACAGTGAGACTCTCAAAAAAAAAAAGTTTCACGTATAGAAATGGGCTCACAGCCTATAGTACTGTGAGTTCATATATAATATAGTGGACATTTTACTTTCTTAACCTGACCACCCCACTTGGCTAACTGCAGACTCACTCTGCTCATCTTAATTTATCTTTTCATATTTAGATTATTTGATATATTGAGATTTAGCTGTAATGTTAGGCATTTTGCTATGTACAGCTTGGTTAAAAAGGAAATAAAGTGATATAAATTTCAGTGTTTACCTGTTAGTTCAAGTCAGCTGTGTACAGTGTTTCCTAGCAGTTAATGGGCACTGAAACAAAAATGCCTGGGAAACAATTGTCCTGCCTTTTTTTGATAGCCCTTGCTGGCCTAGAGCTTGATATGTAGATTTAATCTCAGAGATCTGCTTGTTTCTATGTCCAGAGTGCAGGGATTAAAAGCATGTTACCATCAACAGGCGATGGTGGCGTGCACCTTTATTTTTATTTTTATTTCTTTTAAAGATTTATTTATTTATTACGTATACAGAAGAGGGCGCCAGATATCATTACAGATGGTTGTGAGCCACCATGTGGGTGCTGGGAATTGAACTCAGGACCTCTGTAAGAGCAGTCGGTGCTCTTAACCTCTGAGCCATCTCTCCAGCCCCCGAGTGCACCTTTAATTCCAGCACTAGGGAGGCAGAGGCAGGCAGATCTCTGTGAGTTCCAGGCCAGCCTGGGTTACAGAGTGAGTTCCAGGAAAGGCACCAAAGCTACACAGAGAGACCCTGTCTCAAAAAACCAAAAAGAAAAAAAAAAACAAAAAACATGTACCATCACTCCCCAACAAAACATATTCACAACACTACTTTAGAAGAATCACGGACTTCATATTGTTTATCATGGTTTATCACTGTATTTAAAAAGAAAGCTATATCTGAAGAGGTAATCCATGAAACAAGATAGTTGGACCTCAGTTCGGTGAATGTCTTAGTCACTGTTCTATTGTTAAGACAACACCACGACCAAGGCAATTCTTATAAAAGAAAGCATTTAATTGGGGGTTTATAGTTTCAATTAGTCCAGTCCACAACATGGCGGGAATGTGGTGACACTCATGGCACTGGAGCAGTAGCTAAGAACTACATCCTTATCTGTAGGCAGCAGGCAGAGTCTGGACCTGGCTCGAGCTTTTGAAGTCTCAAAGCCCATCCCTAGTGACACACTCCCTCAAACAAAACCACACCTCCTAATCCTTCTAGTTCTAGCAAAGAGTTCCACTCCCTGGTGACTAAGTACTCAAAAATATGAGCCCATGAGGGTCTCTTATTCAGACCACCACAGTGAGGTAGTTTAGCACTAATGGTAAGCAATTAGATGGTGTGTAAATCTTACTGAAGCTTGCCCAGTTACTTAACAGAAGTTGTAAACTGGGAGTTGAGGAGGGTTTTAAAGAGATTTGGTTTTGATGAATATTCTGACAAAAATATCAGGGCTTTTTAAGACTGTAATGGTTTATCAAACCTCACAGATTAAGTCAGTTAAAGAACTGGACATACAAAATGGAGCAAAGAGACTAGAGGAAGTAGCACAAACCTGTAATAACACTGAAGCTGAGGCAAGAAGATTATGAGTTCAAGAACACTCTCACCTCCATAGCGAGTTGGAGCCCAGCTGGTCTGCATACTCTGACCTTTGTCTCAAGAAACAAAAGTACTGAGTTAAGGAAGCAGGGGTTATTAAAATAAGATGTGGCTTTAAAACACAAAGTAGGAATTCAGAGAGACTCGGATTTTCTAATAAAAGTTTTGTGAAAGTGGGTTTGTGGTTTGATTGAAGTATAAATTTGGGCAGAGATGGGCCCGGTCTGTCAAGTGCTTGCTTCATATACATAAGGATCTGAGTTCGGTTTTGTTTTAAGATTTATTTATTTATTTCATGAATATGAATGCTCCAGCTACATGTACAACCTTATGCCAGAAGAGGGCATCGAATCCTACTCTACATGGTTTTGAACCACCATGTGATTGCTGGGAATTGAACTCAGGATCTTTGGAAGAGCAGCCAGTGCTTTTAACTGCTGAGCCATCTCTTTAGCCCCAAGGATCTGAGTTTTGACCCCCAGCATCGACACAAAATCAGAATATGGCAATGTGCACCCTATAATCTCAGTACTGAGGAAGCACAGACAGACGGATTACATGGATACTCTGACAAGCCATTCTAACTGAATCTGTAAAGCATATTCTTTTTTTTGTTTTGTTTTTTGAGACAGGGTTTCTCTGTGTAGCTTTGTGCCTTTCCTGGAACTCACTTTGTAGCCCAGGCTGGCCTTGAACTCACAGAGATCCACCTGCCTCTGCCTCCCAGTACTGGGATTAAAGGCATACGCCACTAACACCCGGCCAAGCATATTCTTTAAATCAAATCTGTAAAGCATATCTGAATCTGTAAAGTTCCAAGAGACCCTGTCTGGAAAAAAAAATGATGTGAAAAACTATTGAGGAAGACCCCTGATGTTGAAGAATAGAAAATCTATATGTTGTATTTGATTTCTGATATGGTGTATCTGCACTCATTTTTCTCTGCCTTTGTAACCTGTTTTGTGTGTGATTTCCCCCCATCCCATTTCTTACTCTTCCTCCTCCTTTTTTTTCCTTTCTTTCCTTCCTTCCTCCCTCCCCCCCCCCTTTCTTCCTTCCTTCCAGTCCAGGATGGCCTCAAACTAAATCCACAGTCAAGGATGACCTTGAGCTGTTCTAGTGCCTCCATCTCCCAGATGCTGGGCTTAAAGGTGTGTGCTACCATGCCATATTATGCAGGGCTGGTAATCAAACCCAAGGCCCTATGGATGCTATGCAAGCACCCTGAAAATTGGGCTATATTCTGGTGAAACTGTCTTCAAAAAATTGTTAGAAAAAGGAAAAATATGTTACTCTCAAAACTATGAATTCACAGCAAAAAATAGCTAAGCTCCCAGGTAACGAGATGAACTAGACCCAGCTGACTTTTTCATTTTTTTTCCTCCTTGCCTTTCCCTTGAATCCATCTGTTAGGGTTTTTCATTGCTGTGAAAAGACACCATGACCACAGCAACTCTTATAAAGTGAAACATTTAATTAGGGTGGCTCACTTACAGTTTCAGAGGTTCAATCCATTATCATCATGGCGGGGAGCATGGCAATGTGCAGGCAGACGTGGTGCTGGAGAAGTAGCTGAAGTCCCACATCTTGCAGGCAACAGGAAGTTGACTAAGACACAGGGTGGTATCCTGAGCATAGAAAACCTCAAAGCCTGCCCTATGTGACACAATTCCTCCAACAAGACCACACCCACTCCAACAAAACCACACCTACTAATAGTGCCACTCCCTATGAGATTTTGGGAGCCAATTACATTCAAACTACCACATTGTCTATCTTGAGAAAGACAAAGTTACATGTACCTAGTGTAAAAAGTCATTTCAAAAAAGATTATGAAACAAATACAATAATAAAAATGCTTGTGTGTGCTGTCCAAAAAGGACAAACACCTCAGAGAAACCTTGAGTGGAAGTCAAGGCTGTTGCCAAATATTTGTTTAACTACCAAAAGATGTGTTGCATTTGTTTATGTTGCAGAATGTTTGTTTAACTATGTAAAGAGGTGTTGCATTTGTTTAATTATGTAAAGATGTGTTGCTGTTTTACCTTGCCTACCTAAGGCACCTGACTGGGCTAATAAAAAGCTAAACAGCAATAGCGAGGTAGGAGGTATAGGCACGACTCCTGCAGACAAATTTCTAAACAGTCTTAGTAAATAAGAAACACAGAGCCAAATACAGGGGTAATAGAGATCAGAGCAATAGCCACAACTAGCTTTAGCTTACCACCAGCAGTAGTTTCCCCAGAGAGCTTCTTCCTGTCTGACTTGTGTTTTTATTGGCTTTCTGTTCTGCTTTCTCATTGGCTCTAAGCCCAGCCACATGACTTCTTCGTCACTGCCTGTCTATACAGACCTCCAGGTCTCTATGGTTGATACTGGGATTAAAGGCTCGTGCCACCATGCTTGGCTGTGTCCTTGACCACACAGAGACTCTGCCTGCCATGTGATCAGATTAAGAGTGTGTGCTACTACTGCCAGACTTCTGCTTAATAACTATTTGACCTCTGATCTCCAGGCACCTTTATTTATTAACATACAAATAAAATATCACATTTCATCACAAATAAAATATCACCACAACTTCCAAGCAGGAAGAGTAAGTAGGAGGAGGAATTTAGGCTTGACGAAGGAAGAAAAGGAGACATTAGGGAGATGGCAGGGCCCAGCCAGACATGGAAGAAGCAGGAACATAGGATGTACAGAATGAAAGGTAAAAAGCTCCAAGGCAAAACACAGATGAATAGAAACAGGTTGAATTAAAAGAGCTAATGGGATAAGCCCGAGCTAAGGCGGAGCATTTATAATTAATAAGTCTCCATGTCTTTATTTGGGAGCTGGTTGGTGGCCCAAAGAAAATTCCAACAGACACAGCCTAGCCCAGGTCTTCCCCAAGAGAATCCAGAGTTTTCCTTTTTTCCTTACTACCTTAGGAAAAATAAAGATAACTGTTAACCAAAGAAAGCAAAGATCCTTACAGATATTAAAGGTATGCATTTAAAAATCTTATCACATTAAAAAAAAATCCCTCCCCAGGATAAAGATAATGAAACCTCTTTCCTTTGTTTTCCCTTCCTCACCATCCTGCTCCTCCTGCTCCTCATCTTCTTTTTGGAGACAGGATCTCACTATGTAGCTCCAGATGGCCTGGATTGCTCTCTGGACCAGGTTGACCTCTAATTCATTGAGATCTGCCTGCTTCTGCCTCCCCCTTCTGAGTGCTGGGATTAAAGGTGTATGCCACCAGGCCCAGCAAGTAGTAAGAGTTTCTAACTTGCTTTCAAGACAAACCCCATACAGTTTCAATTAGGAAAAAGTTTGGGATATTATACTTTTCCAAAGGTGTACAGCACCCAATTCATTTATTGGGACATGGCTTTTGGAAGCACACCAGACTTCCTCCTTCTCCTTCTTCTTCTTCTTCTTCTTTTTTTTGTTTTGTTTTGTTTTGTTTTTTTGAGACAGGGTTTTTCTGTGTAGCTTTGCACCTTTCCTGGAACTCACTCTGTAGCCCAGGCTGGCCTCGAACTCACAGAGATCCGCCTGCCTCTGCCTCCAGAGTGCTGGGATTAAAGGCGTGCGCCACCACCGCCCGGCCAGACTTCCTTCTTTCTCA